GTGTAGTGAGGGCCTTACAACGCCGCTTTGGCCGTCGCCAGCAGCCAGAGGTGTACCGCGCTCAGAGGTTTACGCGCTCAGTTAAAGACACGGACACGGAGGGCGGGATGAATCCCTTCCACAGCTGGCACAGGATATTGAGGTGTTGGTGCGTGGGGCATATCCAATGGCCACAGAAGAGACCATTGACATGCTCGCCAAGGACAGCTTTGTGGACGCACTAAATGACAAACAGCTTCAGGTCCATGTGAAGCAAGCAGGGCCGCACAACGTACAGGAAGCATTGGCGAGTGCAGCCGAATTTGAGGCTTCTGCTCACCGCCACGCCAAGCTATTACAGGGAGAGATGACACGTAGCCCACGCACATACATGTGAGGAGGACCCTGCTGAAAGATCCCCTCCCTCAAGGAGAACAACCCTGATGGCTTCCAAGGCATTTGCTGGAGGTGTGGACTGAAGGGACACAGGAGGAACGAGTGTACTAGTGGTGGTGCAACAGTCTCGCTCGACAAAGGATCACCGTCGCCCATCACCCTTGTTGCAGGGCATGTGGAGATCAGGACCACTCAACTAAGGAGTGCCAGGAACTGGGGCAGGGAAACATGGACCAGCTGGAGAAGGGGGCTGCCCAGCAAGACACCATGTCGCCCCAGTACACGTATGATGTCGGCAGGTGGCAGCGCCCACAGCCATGAGAGTGGCTGGCAAGATCAAAGGTGCCCCTGTGGAGATGGTAGTGGACACAGGATCAGAGCTGACATTTATCAGGAAGGATCTGATTGTATCCTGTGGTATACCTAAGGCTGGCCAGAAATTATGCGGTGTTACTGGTGATTGTATACCCATGAGAGGCCCAGTGTGGGTGAGCCTAAATGTGGGTGACGTGATAGAACGTTTACCAGTGTTTGTAGCCGAGATGGAGGATCCCTGCTTGCTTGGGCTGGATTACTTGGCACGTGTGGAGGCGTGTGTGGATCTCCAGAGAAGAAGGATGACAGTAAGAGGTCATGAGGTGCCTCTAATCCTGGGAGAACATGCCCTAGTGGCACAGGTAAAGCCGAAGCAAGGGAGGAAACAGCAGAATGTGAACAAGCAACACACTCGGGATAAGGCCATGTGCGCAGTTACCAGACTCACATATCCCACTACCACTTAATTTCATCTTGCAACACAAGACAGGAGGAGGCCAAGCTAGTAGTGCAACGGGAAGTAATACCAAGCCACCTGGAGGACCTAGTTCAACGGAGCATCAAGCATCTAACAAGTGAGCAAGCAAGAAAAGTGCGACGGTTGCTTAATCAGTATGCAGACGTGTTTAGCCAGGGAGATATGGACTTAGGACGCACATCGATGGTGAAACATCACATTTACACCCGTGATACCCCTCCCATCAAGCAGCCGCACCGTCGAGTACCACCTGCAAAGAGAGAGGAGATGCAGTGTGCAGTACAGGAGATGGCAAAGGCCGGTATTATAGAGCGTTCAAACAGTCCTTGGTGCTCCCCAGTGGTGCTAGTGACAAAGAAGGATGGGAGCAAACGATTCTGCGTGGACTATCGAGCTCTGAACGCCGTCACCGTCACCGATGCCTACCCCTTGCCTCGCATTGATGATACGCTGGACGCACTCTCCAAGGTTCAATGGTTTTCTACATTGGACCTTAAGTCTGGTTACCATCAAGTGGAAGTGCAAGAGAAGATAAAGAGAAGACTGCATTCTCTTTTGGTCAGGGGCTGTGGCACTTTAATGTCATGCCCTTCGGTCTGTGCAACGCCCCTGGATGTTTTGAACGCCTGATGAACAAGTACTGGAGGGACTGCAGTGGAAGGTGGCCTTGGTATATTTAGACGACGTGTTTGGTGTTTGGGAAACACCTTCGAGGAGGAGCTGGAGCACCTGACAGAGGTGCTGTGTCGTTTCAAAGCTGCCAACTTAAAGCTCAGCCCAAGAATGCACCCTTTTTTCATACGGAGGTGCCATTCCTGGGTCACGTGGGTTGGCCAGACAAGGAGTGCGGACGGACCCATTGAAAGTGTCAGCAGTGGAGAGCTGGCCAGTGCCAAGGACTGTTGCCGAGCTGAGAAGCTTCTTGTACATATTACAGGAGATTTGTGCAAGGCTTTTGCACCATAGCTGCACCATTGCATCAGCTGACAAGGAAAGGAGCGAGTTTTGTGTGGGACGAGGCATGCCATCAAGCCTTTGTAGCCCTGAAGCAAGCTCTGGTAGAGGCACCAGGTATTGCCATACCAGATCCTAGTCTTCCTACATCTTAGACAGAGACGCCAGTCAGGAAGGTGTCGGTGCGGTCTTGTCTCAGCTCAAAGATGGCCAGGAGTATGTGGTAGCCTACTACAGTTGCAAGTTTTCCAAGCCTGAGAGAAATTATTGCGTCACTCGCAAGGAGTTGGCAGCCGTGGTGAAGGGACTCTCCCACTTTCCACCACTACCTATATGGGGCACAGTTTACAATCCGTACAGACCATGCTGCCCTGAGATGGTTAAAGACCTTGAAAGAGCCTGAAAGGCCAGTTAGCAAGAGATGGCTTGGGAAGCTGGAACAGTACAATTACCAGGTAGTGCATCGTGCTGGGCGTGTTTCATAGCAAATGCTGATAGTCTCAGCCGCCGCCCTTGTGAGCCTGATTGTAATCACTGTTTTTCGTTGGAGTCTGAGATCACCTGTCGGAGGTTGGTGGTTAGTGAGAGTATAGCAGAGGCCGATAAGAGGTGGAGGGAGGACCAGCAGAAGGACCAGGACCTGGCACCAGTTATACAATGGCTCGAAGCAGGCAAGAAACGGCCACAGTGGGAGGCTGTATCCCCGGAAAGCCCAGCAACCAAGTTTCTTGTGATCAGTGGGAGACATTGCGCCTGGAGAATGGTGTATTGGCAGCGGAGTTGGGTGGATGCTGCTACCGGAAAGCAACAGTGGTTAATAGTGGCACCACTGTCTCGCCGTGAGGGACTGCTGAAGGAGGTGCACAATGGGAAGACCAGTGGCCACTTAGGGATCAAGAGGACAATGGAGAAGCTGCGGCGGCGCGTGTACTGGGTTGGCCTACGACAGGATGTCCAGGAGTGGTGCAGGACCTGTCAGGTGTGTGCAGCAAAGAAGGGGCCTGCACAGAAGACACGTGCACCTCTACAACTGTACAGGCTGGGGCACCCATGGAGCGCATGGCCGTGGACATCGCTGGGCCCTTTCCTTGAACTGAAAGGGGAAACAAATATATTTGTGTGGCCATGGATTATTTCTCCAAGTGGCCAGAGGCTGAGCCCTTCCCAACCATGAAGCAGAAACAGTCGCAGAATTCCTGTGACCCAAGTCTTCACCCGCTTTGGGGTCCCAGGTGAGTTACATTTCAGACCAGGGGGGAGTTTGAGAGTCGGGTCTTTAGGGAGTGTTGTCGTCTCCTTGGGATCCACAAGACCCGCACCACACCCCTGCGCCCCCAAAGTGATGGCATGGGTGGAGAGGTTCAAATGCCACCCTGGTCAACACAACTAGCCAAGTATTGCGAGGAGGACCAGCATGACTGGGATGATGGGTCCCGTACATGATGGCATATCGTGGCAGCGAACACGAGGCCACGGGGTTCACGCCCCTCACGCCTGATGTTCGGCCGTGAGATCCGCCTCCCAGTCGACCTCGCAACAGGAAAGCCGCCGGACGAAGGATTGCTGTACCGCACACCGAATACGTAAGGACCCTGCAGCGTCGCATGGAGGAGACGGCAACCGAGCAAGTCAGCACCTCAAGATGGCAGGACAAGCGATGGGGCGGACGCAGTGTACTCCCATGGGGATCAGTTGTGGTTTCACAACCCACGCAAGAGGCCTGGGAAGTCACCGAAGCTCCAGAGTCCGTGGGAGGGTCCGTACACTGTTGTTGAAAGGATATCTGCTGTCACCTACCGCATCGCACCTGCGGGATCCGGCCGGAGAACCAAAGTGGTCCATGTGGACAGACTTTGGAGGCACTCTGGGAAGGGCATGTTCACATGGGGCCCTCGGGTTAGTGACCATGACAATAATAGTGACATTGTGGGAGTGAGTGACGGCGCGAAGGATTGTGACAGTGACGCTAGTGTGGGAGGCGATGATGCAATGGATGGTGATACTGACACTGAGTATAATGATGACCATGATAGTGACATTGGAGCTAATGATGGCATAGGAGGTTTGGTGGTGGACGACCCTTATGTAGCAGTCAGATCACGGCGTCAGAGGCAGCCACCTGTATGGCTTGCCGATTATGATACAAGGAAACGATAAATTTATATATGATTTTTGGCATATGTTGCTTCATTCTTTGTATGTGATTTCTTTGATTATCTTGTTATTCTTTGTGTGGATTTATTTGCATTCTTATGATTTTACTTTCACTTTATTTTATGATCTGTAAGATAGTCGGGTCGACTATTTCTGTGGAGGAGGATAGTGTTACAAAAAGTGTACTATAAGAATGTAAGTGTGTTTGTGTTCGTGGCAATGAAAAGCCCGCCAAAATATGTGTATGCTCGGGGCGCCGAAAAGCCCGCCAAAAACGCGCCGTTGCGTGATTGGCTGCCTGTAAGGCGGACGAGAAATCCGGCGTCGCGATTGGCTGCCTGCAAGGCGGACGAGAGAATCCGGCGTCGTGATTGGCTCCGAGAAGGGAGTGGCGGGCTGTTCGAGAGGAGATCTGGGAGAGCGAGGACGGTCCGTAACGGTAGCTGCGATCGATTCGGTTGTTGCTCTCTCTAAGGTGGACACATAGAGCGAAAATATGGTGATTAAGTTGTGCCTGTGTGTGGTGAGGTGACCATCTTGGAGAGTGATAGCTGTAAATATACTTTGTGGCACGCCAATAAACCGTGGATTGCTACCTGTTTGTCCTTCACCCCGCCAACTCCATTCAGTGCCCTGAGTAAGAAAACACTCGTCAAAGGCTGCTCACCGAACCCAGTGGGACAGTGCGTTACGTAACAATATATATATATTTTTTTTTTTTGCGTAACAAGCTAAACGAGTACATATTATTTTATAGTTTATTTGATAATACTGGAAACGCCTGGGTACAATTCCAGGGAGTTCCTTTGTACGCCAGGTGGAAGGTCAGGTGGAACAAAGCTAAAAGACGAGGCATTTGAATCACAGTTCTTTAAGTGGCTTATTTTCCTTAGTGCGATCGTGACATTTCTCTCCTTCCCTTAAGAAAATGTCTTATAGAATTCTATAAAAATTCTATAGATTTCTATAGAGTTTTTATAGAGTGTATAGAATTGCTATAGAATGCCATTAAAAAGTTTTATAGAGAATGTATTCTATAGAAATACCAGTTTCTATAGAAAGTCCTCAATAGAGTCTATAGAGCTAATTTTCTATAGAGTTTCTATAGGAAAGTTATAAAGGTCATTTTCTGTTGATCACAGTAAATCCCAAATCAGTGGCATCACATGATAAAGGCGAATGAACTGAACAATTAATTGATTGGTCAAGAAGTGAATTTGAAAGCACTACGTGAGGACACTTTTAACTGAAATCGAACTTCATTGATAAGTAACACGCCAAAACTGTAGTTATGGATTATGAAATAATTTATTAGAAATTCACATGCTTCGGCCTTTGCCTAGTATAACTGTCACGGTCATCAGTCGATGACATAACTGTGATAAAAATTCTACGCAAATTCAGCTATTGCAAATAAATGGGTCCATTTAACCTAGAGTTAAGAGATAATTAACCGTGCAAGATGGCGACAAGAATTTCCTATACATCACATTTTCTGGATTTTTTTTCTTTACAAAACTTCCTATACATTATAAAGATAGCATACAGATTGACTTTGTATCAATGTGGTTGTGGAAAAATGATAAATTTTTTCTTGGAATAAATAGTGTAAGCTTTGGTGGTATTTGGCGTTTTCTTAGATGCCAAATCCCGCTACCAGACGTTTTTTTTTTTTTTTTTTTTTTTTTTTTTTTTTTGTTATTGGTATTTAACGAGTTATGGTTTTAAATATAGTGTGTTATAGGTTGTAGAATGTAATTACAGGGTATAGTAAGGTATTTGAGACTTTATATGCAATACAGTGCGTGCGGCTCGTCTGACAGGGGATCGGGAATTGCACCGTTCTCATGTGCGCAGAATTCGTCCCTGTTAGGAAAGGGACAAGGAACAGTTTATTAGGAGTCTTGCAGAGGAGGTAGAAGGCCATTTCTTAGTAAATGACCTTCGTCCTGCATACCAAGCCCTGAGAAAGCTGAACTCCAAGCCCTCTTCA